CAGGGGTCCTCTATAGATGACCACCCCACTTCATGAGAACCCGGATCTGAAGCCAACAAATAGCATACCGAAACGCGCCATTCTGCCAGCCTCGAGCCATTAATCAGTTTAGCCTTTGGAAAACAAGACTCTGTCCCACGCTCGGCACCCCGCCAGAGAACAAGGAGAGGGGAGTGCAGACCGGCCCTGATTTGAACCAAAACAAGAAAGGGGAGCGGGGACCGACCCGGTTTGTACGAAAACAGGATGAAATGGAACTCGGTCGCCAACGACAAAATATAGGACATCTGGCCGGAGCTGACTTCAAAACAAGGGGGAGCGGAGGGCCAGGCCCGCCACCTGGCACCTCAGGCGCCGTGAGCGCCGGCGGCGAATTCCACCCGATCGCCACGTGAAAGGGTGCGACTGCATGGCCGGGGGTGCCGAACTTCAGCAAATCACGAACGTTTGAAGGCGGAGCCAAACGCACTTTCTGAGAATGGAGGACGAAGATTGGACAAGGAGATGCTGCCCGGCCCTCTGAAGTATGACGTCATCAAAAGTATAAGTTGATGAAACGGAACTGGAACGCTCTCTGGTCCTCGCTCTCTCGGACGACGCATCCCGCGCCGGTGGCACTCTCGGCCCACGTCTCTCGTCTGACATCGCGGACAGCCCACGAGACACCAGCGGCTGGCATCACGGCGCCGGCGGCGCGGCTCTGGCCGCCGGGCCGGGCGCTGGACGGACACGACCATCATGCCAGCGACTCCATCTCAAGTAAGGTCACGCGGTGAACACGGGTGCGCACCTAGTCCCTAAAATCCTTCAAGTAACCCCCCCCTCGTTACTGCTATGTGAGCCACATTATATTCCCCTTTTTAGGTGTCGTCTGCAATGTTTTAGGCCATTCAGTTTAGGTAGTTAAATTTATTCTTGGGACTTTCAGTCTAGGTAGCTTAAGTTCACAATTCGATTTCGGTAAACTATGTAACTGTGCGCGTGGCGCGAGACGCGTGCCGACGTGGACCCTCGTCCGGCGCCCCGTGGTGATTAAGGCGGACGGAGGGGATTATACACCGTGGGGAGTCTGGAAAGGGACGGGCGACTGTGTACCGCACCGCGCGGCTTGTGGGGCTCAGTTGATGGGCGGCCTGGGCCCAGAATGTTTCTTTTAAATTTGACGTGTAAGGGAATTTAAGGTGTTGCGTCGGAGTATGTAAATAAATGGGACTTGTAAATATTGAAATACGAGTGTGAGTATAGTGCTGAAGGGCAGGGATCGGAGGATGGAGCATAAAAGGCCATATGCCAACCCACAGTCGGGAAAGAGGTCATTTCCAAGGTGTCTGGCCAGAGCAATTTACAACGATCAGTTTTCTTTATCTGTTTGATTTTACACAGTGCACACAGGGATTATACGGGGAGCACAGAACACACACAGGACCTCCCTAGCCTAGCCGATACTGGAGCTTCTCCGGTTGACTCCTAAGTGCCCTTGCCAGTGGATTTCCTGGCACTCCATCCTCCCCAAATTATCCCACGGTCCAAACAATAGCGATTACACACAACATACACAGGACCTCCCTAGCCTAACCGATACTGGAGCTTCTCCGGTTGACTCCTAAGTGCCCTTGCCAGTGGATTTCCTGGCACTCCATCCTCCCCAAATTATCCCACAGTCCAAACAATAGCGATTACACACAATACACACAGGACCTCCCTGACCTAACCGATACTGGAGCTTCTCCGGTTGACTCCTAAGTGCCCTTGCCAGTGGATTTCCTGGCACTCCATCCTCCCCAAATTATCCCACGGTCCAAACAATAGCGATTACACACAACATACACAGGACCTCCCTAGCCTAACCGATACTGGAGCTTCTCCGGTTGACTCCTAAGTGCCCTTGCCAGTGGATTTCCTGGCACTCCATCCTCCCCAAATTATCCCACGGTCCAACAATAGCGATTACACACAACACACACCGGACCTCCCTAGCCTAGCCGATACTGGAGCTTCTCCGGTTGACTCCTAAGTGCCCTTGCCAGTGGATTTCCTGGCACTCCATCCTCCCCAAATTATCCCACGGTCCAAATAATAGCGATTACACACAATACACACAGGACCTCCCTGACCTAACCGATACTGGAGCTTCTCCGGTTGACTCCTAAGTGCCCTTGCCAGTGGATTTCCTGGCACTCCATCCTCCCCGAATTATCCCACGGTCCAAACGATAGCGATTATACACAACACATACAGGACCTCCCTAGCCCAACCGATACTGGAGCTCCTCCGGTTGACTCCCAAATGCCCTCGCCAGCGGATTTCCTGGCACTCCACTAATCAATTTACCAACGGTCCGCACACAAGCAACACACTAGACCTTGTTGCACACGAAATATATGTAATTTTATTCTACATGGACACTGCAAGGGATGGAACCGGGGAGATAGATGATGCACGTCACGCCCCTGTGCGTGGAGAATCCACCGACGCGGCCATGGGTTAGGAGGGAGATGAGACGCGAGTAGAGACGCGGACTGTACAAATAGAAAAATCGGGTTTCCCGAATGGCGCTAAACTCGGACAGACCCCACTAGATATAAGGCCTCGATTGAGTAAGCCCTGGATGCGTGCAATAAGTCGCGAAATTAAACGTGAGGATGAAGGCGAGTCGGGCACAGACCGCCGAGGAGGGTTTCAAGAAATGTTACCCGGTCAGCCTCGTGTCCTGGCTCGGAGGGGACGACGGGCTGTAGTCTGTCTAACCTCTGGCTAGCGGACACGGGACCAGTGGCCCGATTGTTCCGGCCCAGGGTAGGCCTGGGTGATAATTAAGGTCACGTGGGCCGTCGCCTGGGATGTGTATCGGCGGGTGGGCCGCCGCGAGATGACGGTGTTCCGTCTCGGATTAACAGCCTCGGAGGCTGGGCAGATTTTAGGCTGCCGGGCTGGCCCGGAAGCCCTGAACTATGACTGGAGCGAGATGCGGTCATCAGTATCACGGATGGACCTTAGTTACCCAGCCCGGTTTCAAAAAGATAGGTAGGCCCGCTATCGGTCCCTCAAGTGGTCGGCGCGGGACGTCATTTGAAGAGCGACATAGATAGTTTCGGAGGTGGTTAGGACCCCGGGCGTCTTAGCGAGGGAATCGTATGCCGCCGGAAGAGTAATGCCCCGCGAAGGAACGTATAATGCCGCAAGACGGGGGTGAACATTAGATACCGAGCATTCGAGTCGGGTGATCGCAGTCAGACGGTGCTGGCCACCCGCAGTCAGTCGAGTAGCTCCGGCCATGCTCTGGTCCTTTCGAATAGGTCTGTGACGACAGCTTAACTACCAGCCACGGATAGATAGGGCTTTGGACGCCTATGTGCTGGTAGTCGACGATGTGTGTTGAGTGCAGGATATCCCCGAGTGGACCTGCGTGCGTGGAAGACGCGTGTCGTCTTTGTAGTTAGCCGACGAGAGCTAACCTTTTTTTAGGTCGCCGGGTTGGCCCGGAAACCCTGAACTATGGCTGGTGCGAGATGCGGTCATTAGTATCACGGACGGACTTTAGTTACCCAACCCGGCTTTCAAATTTTAGATACGTCCGCCGCGGAAAGCCCGGGCTACTGAGTGCCCTGCGAGCTCTAGCTCCGGAACCGTGGGCTGGAGTGTGTTAGAGATGCTGACTGACCACTGGCAGCAGAAGGTAGGTCCACGCGTGAGTGGCAGTAAGACAAGGGCTGCGTACGTTGTTGCAAAGGTTTACCGGCCCATGCTGTAAGTCCATTGTTCGCTCAACAACCTGCGTGCGTGTGTGTTTATTATTTGTGTGTAGGTAGTTCGGCATGGTCTTGGACCCGCTATAAGTCGCGTAATTCAAGGGCGGAGTGCCGAAATCTGTGGTGGTTCGTATATTCTATTCGTGTAGCGTGAGCATTATGAAGCGTTTGTCTGATATACGGAGCATTGTGGTTATGAAGGGATAACGGTTAATGAAATTTAAGGCCAATGACTCAATAATGACTTGCGCACGCCTTAGCACCACCGGGGGAAGTTAGGCAAAGAGGGAGGGATCGGAGACGGCTAACTCTGATAATTATGAGGTATAACTGGACGTATGACAGAAGTGAGAAGGGATGCACGAGTGGAAGTATGATTGTTGTGTATATCCGGTGGGAGATAGCCCTCAGCTAGGAAGGGCGCTGTTGTTTGAGAGTGGGACTTTTTGTTAAATAGAGTTGATTTTCTATACCAATATGATCGAGGGTAATTGATTAACATTTATCATTATCTCCCATTCCCTAACCCTGGCCTATGTGTTTCCGATGATTGATCGCCCCGGAGAATGTAAAGACAGAGTCGGGACGAGTTCGCGAGGGGCTGAACCGAGAAGGGCTACTACGAGTAGAAGCGCACCGACCAGGCCGATTTTAACACCCCCACTCGAGCCAGCCCACCTGCTGGAGAAGTGAATGCCCGGTTAGCCCCGCAACGCCGCGAAACCCCGCTACAATTACGTGCCCTTTGCAATTGTCGATATGGCTGTAGAGGGTCTGAGAGGCTAGCCATGCGGTTCCCGTAGGGCCAAAACTCGGTAACTCGATCTAACTTGGCATCAAATTAAATGCTACGGTAAGTTCATTACCATGCACTCCTCTAACTTATCTATATAGAGGAGCAATGCTGGAGGCTGGGACGTTATAATAACACACATCCAATGGCTTACATAACCGTCTAATAATGAAAATTCTTGCGATGCAGCTACGGACAACACCACAAAATCTATAGATTTGTCTTATTTTGTCTGACTGGCCTGAAAGGTCTGGCACTGGAGAGAAACGGTTGGAAGTCCAAGAGAATTTGAAAGCATTGGCACTGAGTCAGCTAAACACTAATCTGTCGATATGACAGGGCCAAAAACCGGGTTGATGGGTCACCTCAACGTCTACGTCTGTCCCCTAAGTATCCCACCCCAGCCCCGGGCGATAGGAGACCCTCTCCATCCCCTCTGACTGACCTCTGGGCCTCAGGAGACGCCGATTCACCTTCTGAAGCTGACGCGGCTGCTGCGGCTGGTGCGACTGCTGCAGAAGATCGACCGGTACACGCAGTACAGCAGCATGATCCTGACGCTGCTGCTTGTGCTGTTCTCGCTGGCGGCACACTGGCTGGCCTGTGTGTGGTACGTGCTGGCCGACAGGGAGCGGCAGCAGCACCCAGCAGACTGGGATATCGGTGAGTCGAGAGATACCGACACCGACACTGACACTGACACTGACACTGAACGTAACCTCGGTGACACTGACACTGACACTGAGCCTAACCTTTGTGACCCTGACACTGACCGAATGGCCGACTGGGACAATGGGACATCGGTGAGTCGACTGACACTGACACTGACACTGACACTGACACTGAACCTGACATTGGGCCTAACCTTGTTGACACTGACACTGAACCTAAACTCGGTGACACTGACACTGACACTGAGCCTACCCTTGGTGACACTGACACCGACCCACATGACACTGACAATTAACTGGACCCTGATCTGAGTGGCACTGCCACTGGCGCTGAACTTGACCCGAATAACTCTGGCCATCCGGGTGACAATCACAACAAAAGTGTGTCCAATCAGTACCACTCGTTTAGTCATGCTTATCCTTCTCACCGTTCAGTCTCGTAGCATTTCATTTTTTTTATTTTTGCATCGTTGTTTTTTCTCCGTTCATCGGATAAGTTTGTGCAAATCCCTTCTCTTCCTATATTCGATTGTATGAGAATTAAAGTGATAAAAACAGTTTGCCTAAGTTATCTTGGTTCGTTTTTAGTTCGCCATCAGTAATAACGTTGATGGTCACCTTCCAGTCTCTCGTAACTTTTCTAAAATAATCATACAGAATTATTGACGGCCGGAAGCTGACAGCTTCGTTAGTATGACGTTTCATTTGAGGTCTGACGGTACTTGATGGCTGATGCGAAGATTTTTTGTCTGATGCCTCTTGTTTTGGTTAAAATTACCGATGCCACTACTTACACCATGTATTCTATGATGTCATGATCCTCATATAGATATGATCTAATCTAATGATCTGTTAGATCTAACAAAGCACTTAATAGGTGGACCCTGTACCCCTTTTTCGCATCACTTTCCGACGTTTTTCTTTCTTTTTTACCAGCCGTCATCTGGCTACCGTGTCTCAATTCCTCCTGAAATCCTTGGTGTCTGTGTCCCCGGGGCTTTCAGCGACGATCGATCGCCTTAGAGAAGAGTCGTGAGAACTCTCTGAGAGATCCGTGAGAACTCAACCGGGCGGTAACTCTTGTCCGTTCGCTGCTGAGACGATCCAGACTCAGCTCGCGCTCGATTAAACACCATGGCAGCAGTTTTGTCATCGACGTCATCAAATGATACTGCGTCATCGACGCTGATGACGATGTCATGATACACCGTTGTTCGAACACCAGGGTGATGTTGAATTAATTTCGGGCCACTCCAATAAAAGAGTTAAAAGCTTGTGATGAAATTACTGAACCGGCAGCAGTCGGGAGTTGGAACGCAATTTTTTTATAGAAAAATAATATGTGCATTGTATCGTTTTTTTCTGTTCTCATATTTGTGATATTGGGTTCCAGATTTGTTGGGTTATACCCTGACGAAAGAGATGTAATTTCCACATGTTGTGACGGCTCTAAACTCGAGGCAATAAGGACTCTCCTTTGATAAACGACTTCCACGGGTATGTGTGAGGTTGGAAATAACAGCTGATGGTATGGAGGGCTGAGAAAGTCCCACCTTCTAACCTTGTGCCATTTCACATTTATTCACTCTCCCATGTCACGTCTTTTCATTCATGAGACAGCACCGCACGTGGACTGGCAATGACAACGGGTTCTCAGACACCGTGCAGAGTTTCCGTGCCTACTGCCTATCCCGAACCTCATCTAAAAGTACTGAGGCGGCCTTTTCCCTGCCGCTGTCTCCGGCAGCAAAGCACAGTCCCACACCGTTTTCCACTGCGCCGACCGTAGGTCATCGAGACTCATGGGGACAGCCCATGGCCGGCCTCACACAACTTTTCCCATTAGTTCAGACACCACTGGTGGGAGACGCTTTTCAGCAGAGGTCATTTTCACGGCCTGAGCAGAGAGTAAATCGACCGTGGTAAACTTCAGGTGCCGCTCGAGCGATAACGTGAGCTCTAGCCCCATTTGGCCCGGTGGTCACGTGAACCGCGACAAAATGAGGGCACATAGTTTCGGCCGATTGCGCAGGCTGGTTTGAGTGGTAATGAGAAATTGAAAACATCTAGAATGTAATGTAGAAAGCTACCATAGATGCTTAACAAACAAACACAATCTAGAAATGAGATCATGATTTGCATGCAAACTACTTTTCAGCATGAAGCAGCGTGCAATGTTACCCATAACGCATCAAAAAAAAAACATCTGTCTTTCCTGTTATTCTCTCAATCAATACCGGTGTTTAAATCTTCATCTAGTATCTCATCAGTCAATAGTTCTACTGAATCAGTCGGCTGAAGCAAGCAAAGGCTGTCACAACAATCATTCGCTGCACCTTTGAGTGACCTTTGAACGTTTTTCTTTGAAAGTCTGTTCTGCCTGGTAACCTTCTAACAAGAACAAATCGAAATCCGACAGGATTTCATGCTCTGCAGGATTAAATTCCGATCTCAGAAGCTCCCGCGACATTTTCTGTCACGATGCGGATACAGAATGCGGTTCGTCGCTTAGCTGTCTGTAATTAGCGAGACTGGCTCGGTTCAGATATTGACAGACGCCTCGCATTGCCGACTTATTGGAGTCCTACGGGGTGGGTCGCCGCGCCTCTGACGGTCGCCAAGCTGACGGTCTCGATATGTCTCAGGTATTCCGATGGTTTGTCTCAAAGTACGCCACTGAAACTTCGACATGTCTCCGCTTCGGACACGATGAGTCCAAATTTGCCTCTAATCATGTAAATTCGTTTGTTAAATTGTCTCGCTCTCGTCAAGGAGTCTTGATATGCCTCCGTTCTCGCTACGATGAGCTCCCTCTGCTCGTGCCAGGGACTGCCTCAATTCACCTCTGCTTCCGACTGACTCACAGAGCAGGCCGCCCACAAAGGAGGATTGTTGGGAATTACGCACACGCGCGGAGCATGCTCATATGGACTGCTCAGGTCATCAGCTGAATGACATTTGATCGTCCGTTCTGGCGCTATGATTCGCGCAGCGGCAGTAAACAACGCCAAATAACACCAGCCGTGCTTCCACTATGTTATAGGCAATGGGCATATTGCGTGCATTAATGGTGCATATTGCATATATGCATTCTGCGGGGTTTATGACGACATTTTATCACCGCCAGCGGGCGGGGACCGAGATCGATTAGAGATAAAATTCGGAAAGTTCAGGGTCATCAGCAATCTGGACCATGGACGTATTGATTGAAGCTGGGTTCTGTGAAGGCCAATAGATGAACAGGAAGCGAAATGAGGCTGCGCTTGATTGACAATAACGCTATCGAAAGTGAATGGAATTTGGTTTTGTGAAATAATTCCTTTCTTTATTTCCTTAAAAAGGCAAAGCATTACTGGGCAAAAGATAAATAAATATGTGGTATCTGTTTACGCTTCCCTGTAAATATTGCGATATTCGTTTAGCTAGCGGTACTGCTGACTGGGCAATTTTCTGGCACACTTTTAGAAACATTTCTTCTGGCGACGAATACCAATTTAGTGTCTGCAGCTATAACATCAACCAGCAACAAGCCATTAAAATTACATAAGAACTTCTGAGCTTGGCAATGCTAAGGCTGTCAAGCACTTACTAGTATAAAGGAAGTACAAAGCATCACGCTGAATTCTTATTCACAGTACATACGGTCATAAGAGATTCTGGTCTCATGCTGTAAATCCGAAGAGCGGCGCATCAGTATTCGAACTGAATGTTCGTACATTGAGATGGGATTTCATTAGCTTTGACCAAAGTCCGGTAGCGACCCATTTCCAAAGCAACTCATGTTCCTAGTGTTGCCGCCCATTTTCTTATCTACATATATTCTATCAAAACTCGTACCCCAGACGCGTTGGGTGACGGGCCCGTTCTGACGGGCCCGTCTTGAAACCATCGGAGTCTTTCTAGCTCGTGACTCTCCTGCTGTCGCTGTCTCGCCAGGCTGGATACCGCAGCTGGCGGAGCGTCTCCACCTGCCTGTGGACAATGTGACCACGGAGATGTCGTACATCACGGCTCTCTACTTCACCTGCACCAGCCTGACCAGCGTCGGCTTCGGCAACGTCAGTGCCAACACCAACACGGAGAAAATCTTCAGCGTCGTCGTGATGCTGGTCGGAGGTGAGATGACGCACTGAGAAGGGCCGAGATGAACGTGCCAGAGGACTACTTATGCTTTTTAGATGTGTTGAATGTTAAAAGTAATTTCATTGGTATCATGATACTACATTTAATCGAAAAAAGAAAGAAATGTCTTTGATATGTTGATATTTTGTGAAAAGTTCAAGAGCATTTCCAGAAATTTTAGTTTTATCCTTTTTATTCTCGAGGTGCTTAGTCATCCTTGCATGTGCATATATGAAAATAATAATTTTTGGCAAGCTTTAAAAGCGCTGAGCGCCGAGCAGCCCGGTGAGGTCTCTGTGATAATTACCAAAGCCGACAGCGCTTAACGCGGTGTGATGGCGGTAATTGGCCGTCTCAGCTGCTAACTGGCCGTTAAATGTCGTTACTCAGAGCGCTTGTTCGGCTAAACAGAAGCTAAACGGTCAGATTGACGTTGTTTTACAATTACTTTGCTCCTGTTGCGCATACGTTTTGTATGCAATTTATGAAAACTTCTGTCTGTCGGTTTGATGGACAATATCATCATGGTATATCGAATATTACCAATCGCATCGAATTCAAATCACAGTAGTTCCTTTACAGTTCCACATGTAAAGGCGAACGCTGCCCCCTTCCACACTCTGGCAAATCTCCAGGAATCAGTAATTCCTACATAGGTCTCTCTCGCCCCCAGCGGTGTCACACAGCAGAGCACCGTGATGTGTTATGCAGCGCTAACCTTTTACTGACTAGTATCACATCAGCAGTACTCACCACCGGGCCTGCGACCTGTCCATCGGAGCTGCATTACCATGAAATAATGAACACCGCCATCGCGCCGGTCGGGCTTTGATGTAAAATTCATGTCGGCGTCGGGCCGCTCCCGGAGCTGCTCTCGCGTTGTCTCCGGTGACGGCGGCGTAACCACGCCGCTGCCGCTCCCCGGGGCGGCCCCGCCGCCGGCCTGGACCGGCGTGAATCGTGTCCAGCGCCCGGCAGGTGGGACGGCAGACGTCACATTTGGTGGTGGTTTCAGTCCGACTGCAGGCGGACGGTCGATAGCTGTCGGGCTCGTCGACGAGAAATGCAAAGTGCATTAGTGTCCTTGAAAGTGATAATGCTTCCTGACTAAGAGGTGGAAAGAAATATTTTGTCCAGATATGGTGGGGTTTGACGTTAGGTCCTCTGAGCTTCTGTTTTCGAATAAAAGCGACACTGGTTTGGTTTCCTATTATCCCGTTTCTTCTTTAAAAATTGAACACATTCCATAGCTGAGTTGTCAGCCTGAAAACTTCCAATAATGGCAGCGTTGTTGTAAGTTTTCCGGTTCTGATATCCTGAAACTGGGTAGGAATGCAATATGTCGGCGATGATACTAACGCCAGACATTCCAATTCTATGGGGCAGAGATCTAATAAATCATGCCTATGGCGTTATGTGTCCAAATCCAGAGCAAGTTTAAGAAAACTATAGCTGGCTTATTCACTTGCATATGATGGCATATTTATGGGGAAATGATCAGCCTACTGCGGGACTAACTAGCGGAAGAAAGCCCCGACCGGCTACATCGGTGCCTTTCTCCTCTGCGAGCCACCGACGCAGGCAGCTCCTGGGCGAGCGAAGCGTCGGCAAATCTCTCCCCCACTGTGCGCGGACCAGTCCCTGTTTACCTTGTCGGGGCTTAGCGAGTACAGCTGTGACGACAGCCGTGAGCGGATCAGGGACGGGGAGTCGCCTGGAGAGTCGCCCGGAGAGTCGCCCGGAGGGGGAGATTTGCCGAGCCGAGACCGGCGGCCGGCCGATCAATAAGGCCAGCCGTCCAACCGGGCGTTCACCGGCAACGGTTCAAGGTGTAGCGCCGGCTATAGGTAGCGCTGGGCGACAACGGTTCAAGGTGTAGCGCCGGCTATAGGTAGCGCTGGGCGACAACGATTCAAGAAGATAGCGCGGGCTACGGAATAACGGACGGGCGGCAACTGTTCAAGGTGTAGCGCTGCTCCGGCAGGACCAATCGCCGCCAAAGATATAGCGCTGGCTACCAAACGGCTGCGGCTGGGTGGTACGGTTCGAGGTGTACATATGTAGCGCGGGCTGCGGCCCAGCCGGGGAAATAGGAAGCCTGCGCTTGATGCTGGAGTTTTGATGAGCTGAAAATAAGGACAGCTTAAGAGGACAAACTACTGTCCAATGTCCATCCCGAAGAAATAAAAGCACAGCTGAGTGGCGTTAGTGAGAAATGCGAACACAAGCTTGACTTGGATGATTCTCTCTGATTTCAGCTCTGATGCACGCAGCAGTATTCGGAAATGTGACAGCAATAGTACAAAGAATGTATGCTAAACGCTCATTGTATGACTCCAAGTGGAATGACCTGAAGGATTTTCTCACACTCTACCAAGTAAGTTGAATCTTGATTTCACAAAGCCGCATCAGTATTTGCATGATTGCTGCAATAATAGGATGTTATGACAGTGGAAAATAAGACCTAAATAACCACGTGAAGTTTGTCGTGGTGTTTTATTCATTTGACTTAGATTTCTATTGCTGAATAAATACTCCTTTAGTTTGGTTTCTTTGTTGTTCTGTTTGCTGATATTCGGTTTTTGTTGTGTTTACGACCCTCAAATGTCTACTTCCTCAGGTTCCAAAGGAGCTCAAGCAGCGGATACAGGACTACTTTCAGACTATGTGGTCGCTCAACCACGGGATCGACATGGGCGAGGTAAGATGGCGGGCCAAGAGGGCTGGCTGGCGGGCTCCTCCACGATGGTCCGTTACCGCCTGAAGCACGCTGCGCCGCATTACATGGGTGTCCGGCGGGATAGCATGTGTCGGCGAGCCCGCCCGGTGAACGGACGGACAAAATTCGACGCTTGATCCTGAAAGCACAGAAGTAATTCACACTTTTGCCAGGAAAAGCTGGTTAATAGTCTTGTTTTATCGGTAAAGCTTCCAATTTCCTAATTGTGAGTAAAGCTTATTCCAAATAGTTTTGTAGTAATGGCCCATGCACAGTTCATACCTATAAATCGCAACCACACTCAGAATCAGTACGTGCTACGTGTTTAACTATTTCATCTAAATATATGTACATATAGCGCATTAGTGTCATTGTAAGCTACCAATTACTATCGTGCTGTTCCGGGCCCTCTAATTAACCTTCCAATTTGCTGGCTTACTGGAATGTTATTCGGTTTGAAGCCGCTGATCCTGTCCTCAGCCAGACCAACCGAATAACCCACGCAGATTAATGGCATTGCTGTGTCTTGTGTCGATAGATTTCACTTGATATAATATAAAAATCAATAAAGGCGAAAAACAGAACCGTCATTTTCGTCGCTGTTAGCGTACAGCACTTCGAGTAATGTGGTGCTTGATAGTTGGGCAAAACCTTGCCGTTCCTAGAAGCACATTTATATTTCGAAATACGCCACTCTCAATAACAACAAGTGGTCGTCTTGTTAAAAGTAGCGGACTTCCACCAACTCCTAATCGTGAACACTTTTGAAGTTTGGCAATAAGTAGAGCCATCTAGCAGAACTTTGAATATTGCACTTTGTACATAATTAGGATCTGCTCTTTTCATCAGGCGAAGCCATTCATCACTTCCACATTTAACAAATATCAGATGCACTTACAACCTGGTAACTGCTCTCCTCTACAAACACATAGGTATAAGTCGTCCTGTTCTCCATTCTCCTTCCTCGGCCGACTGTATCGATGACGCAGCTCGTCATTGGCCGTGCTGCCGGTTCGTTAGCTGCTGACCGCGTCCACCGAACAGCTCGTGCAGTCCCGTGCTTTGATGAGGTCAAGGCTATAGCAAATAGCGTGTTCGCTTTCAAAACAGAGGGAAGGAAATTACCCATAAGTGGATGATTGGCTCAGGAGAAACCTATTTTTAGATTGACGGCTGATGGTCAAGCGTGAGCAGGACGACCACAAACATGCATCAATAAATGTTAAATAAATGAAAATAATGAATGTCTGCGGTGGTTCTCGAATATTTACCGCTCACTAACTCGTTAATATTTCATTTTCTCCCACAGATTTTGCACGACTTTCCGGAGGAGCTGCGCGGCGACGTGTCGATGCACATTCACCGGGAGCTGCTGCAGCTGCCCATCTTCGTCACCGCCTCCACCGGCTGCCAGAAGCTGCTCTCGCTGCACGTCAAGGACAGCTTCTGCGCGCCCGGCGAGTACCTGGTGCACTGCGGAGACGCGCTGCACTACATCTACTACCTCTGCAACGGCAGCATGGAGGTCGTACAGACCGACATGGTCGTCGCCATCTTAGGTGAGACGGGGGAGTTTGACAAGGAAGGTGGAAACTGTGTGGGAAGCTTTAGCTGCCATCTGAATACGGGATATTGTGCATACAGTAAAGTTATACCGTACTAGAATTGAAGCATTACCATTGTGAAAGGACATGTCGCCACCATATGCTGAGGAGTTATCAAGTTGAAGCAGTAGGTGGGCGCGGCGTGGGCAGTGCTTATCAGCTCTCGAGGCAGGCGCGGCCAACGTGCGCCATTATCGTCGACATGTTATCGCCGTGGTATTGACACGGCTAATGTGACCACTCAGTCACATATGGACACCATATGACCCCGACATACGCCGCACAGCGTTACAGGGGTTGGCTCTCGGACGCAGCCCATGCCCGTGTGTGGGTGAGACAAATGCATATTGTAGCATAGTGTCGCCATTATTGACCATGTGCATTTTCCACCCCCCCCCCAAAAAAAAACTGATGTCATTAACACAATCTAAATTTATTGAAGTCTAATGTTATCGAAATGCTAAAGCAATAATTAGCTCCAATGCGTTGCCATAAAACCAACGAAATTATTTATCTAGAGCACCCATTTTTGTTAGAAACACACACACCTAGCAAGCAGCGCACCGAGTGAGGACCGGCGGCGGTGCGGGGACCTGCGGGGACCGATCGATGACGCCCTGTGCCGGTGACGGCCGCCGACGCCGGTGCGCCCGCTCTCGTAACGAGCAAGCCATGTCAGCCTCGCGGGGGCAGATTGTGGCCGGGCAGGCGACGCCCGGTCCCGGCGGAGCCACCGGCCGCTCCTTTACCCAGCTGACCCTGCCCGGCTCCACCGCCCCCCCCCCCCCTCTCCATCCCCCCACCTCCACGGCGCCCCCAGGGGCAGAGGCCGCTCTCAGCCCCCGCCCGCGAGCTGTCGCGCGGATATTGGCTCTTAAGAGCAGTTAGGGTGGAAAAGTTCGGTGGAGAGGAAATGGATCTGAGCAGACACCTGAGTCGTCTCTAAGATGGAAATTCCGATATAAGGTCATTCGGGAAAATATCAAAAACTGTAATTACGGCCTTGGTTAGATATTATGAGTTCAAACTACATAATTAGAAAATCGATTTTAAAGTCATCCTTCTGTCCTATATGTAGACAGTGCAGTGGTGCAGTGCAGTCATATGTATATCCCTCGCCGGCCGAGGGGGGGGGGAGCGGGTGCCGCCCCCCCCCCATAGGTTTTTTTCGCAATAGCTCCGAACACGCTGGCGATAGAGAGCTAAAACTTTGCATACCTAACCTTTGATTCAAGCCGGATCTTTTGACACCAACCACATTTTTGGGTCAGGTCAGGTCACTGACCTATGACGTCATAAGTGAACCTCTGCACGGTCTTCAGATGTCGCAACTTCGCAAGGCCCTCACTGCCAGAGGAGATGTCACAGGGAAATGAAACTTGCAGGATCTAGTATCCATTATGGGTACCCTGGGGCACTTTACACATATCCATTATGAGTCTCGCAATTTGTATATCTCGGATTTTTCCTAAAGGTCATATAAGGTCAGGTCATTTTCGTGACCTCACCATTACCTATAAGTCAATGGGGAAAAATGAAAACTGAGCTTCTAGCGCCGGGAACGATCTCCAACTATCTCAAGCGCACAGAATCGTGATTTGATGCACTCCTTGCAAGGTTAGATGCGTCACTTTTGCAATGTTGACCTTGCGTGACGTCATTTATAACGTCATCAAAGTCATATTAGTTTTTCGTCAATAACTCTTGATCAAATTGAGCTAGCGAGTCGGGAAAGCCACCAATGGACTCAGGAAGACCTGCCGAATCGAATGATATGCGACATGACCTCTTTCGACCAACTTCGTGACCTGGGGGTGCTGACCTGACCTTGACCTGAGGTCAACACCCCAAGTTGACCTGACCCGGACAAAAAGTATACCATTCGACGCGCCAGAGCGAGGCGAACACGATGCTGCCAAAATCGGCGCTCTGCGGCCGTTTTTTGCCGAAGTTATTCACCAAAAACTCGTACCTTGGGGCACTTGACCTGACCTCAGAGGTCACCGGTTGACCTAGAACCTTAAAATCGGGTACCAATCTCTGCATCTCGTAACGGCGCACACGCTCGTTTTTTCCGCGACGCGCTAGCTTCACCAGGGGCGAAACGGCGAGGGGGGGGTCGTAACCCCCCCCCCTCGGCCGGCGCGTATGTAGAAAACAAATAGGTCCGGCGAGGGATATGGGATTACATAGTAAGCACACAAATACACTTTGTGCATGACTTTCCAGCATGTTTTTCAACGAATAAAGAACGTCATCTGCAGCTCTTGCGTTGTCTGTGGCATAAGGCATTCGCCACAAAAAAAAAACTGACATGCTGCATTGAATAATCGAGGATTATGTTTTTCCTATCTCAGCTGATTAGACTTTGTTCGAGTTGGTCCCTGCGTTAGCTTTCATCAGACTAACTTTTACCAACTTTCCCATATGGCAAAGTTTTCTGCGCCTTTCTGCGGCTCGGGCATTAGGTGCTCTGCTTCGCGGCGAGCGCCGGCGCTCTCTTTTCTTCCCGAACAAATTAGACGGCCAGCCAAGTTCCCTCTGGAGAGGACATGTGCCCCGTAATGGCACTACCTGTCTCCCAGCAGCGGCGCTTCAAATTCGTGACCGAAGAAAGTTGCGAGAAATTCTCCTAAATCCTTGCGATAGCATAGGTCACTTTTAGGAAAGTTTAGGCTCTCGTGAAGCTTTTGTAACGTTGAAAAAGCACCATGCGAGTGTGTTTTGGGCTACTGGTAGCTTAGCAATTACACTGTCAGTATTATTCCCCGCTTGTTGTAGGATGCAGTTTGAGCGTCCTTTTCGGTTTCATAAAAGCAGGCGGCTCGTCCATAAGTGTTCGATTTAACCCGCGCGGGGCTGGGGGGGGGGGTAAATTTTATCCCCCCTCGCGAATTTTTGCAATATCTCAAAAACGGCGGCGCGCAGCGCCGCCAAACTTTCAGTACCTTTTCTTACATCAATTTGACACGTTCCCTGAAAATTTGAGCAAAATCCGTCGGAAAATTTTTGAGAAATTGACGTTTTAGTGACGTCATGTTCGCCATTTTCGCCTCAAAAACGGCAAAATTTCAAACGCCGCTAACATCTTCACTTTTAAAGGAATCAAGACGTAACAAAAAAGGTTATACGTAATTCTACTTTGTCTATCAAATGGCTATCTCGGTTTTTTGAAAATTTTGGATTTTGACCCAAATTTTTTCAAAAAACTGACTTTTTTGGGAAAATGATCATAAAATCAAAAATTTTGAGTGTATCAAAAAAACGGAATATATGTCAGAGAAGTGGTCTATGTGCACCTACATACTAATTTTTAGAAGAATCGGTTCAAAAATGTGGGAGTTATTCAAGATTTTATGACGTCACGACACACAAAAATTTTGAAAAATGAATTTTTTGGAAGTTCTAGACCTCGTACGGAAACAAAAATAGCACCATTCGATTTGCCGTGAAAAACTGCATCAGATAGACACCTTTTTAGGCCTTAACAACCAACTTCAAAATTTGACCTCACTTGACCTGACCTTGACCTGACCTCGACCTGAAATTCATCCAGAGGTGGTCTATATCACTTATTGAGTGTGCCTATTGAATTCTATGAGTAAAATGACCCATAAAACATGTGTCGCACATGCCCTTTTCTATATTTTGTTTTTTGGTGACCTGACCTGACCTGACCTGACCTTGACCTTGACCTCTGAATGGTATTGTATGCAACGAATGTTGTTTTGGTAGCCTAAGAACACGTTTTGGGCAATCAGTCTCAGTCGATGACTCCATTCTTCGGCAACTACGGTGCAAGGCCGATACTGTAGAAACTTGCAATTTGTACCCTTGACCTGACCTTGACCTTGACCTCAAACTTTAAATTAAGTACATGTTTTTAGTTGTTCGTGATGAGATCTTTCGATTGGCGTTTGATTTTTCCAAATCGGACCATTAGTTCGGGAGATAACAGGGGGGGGGTAAAATTTACCCCCCCCCCCCAGCCCCGCGCGTTCGGCTGGAGACCCCAGCCCCGCGCGGGTTAAGGAAACTGGATCTCTTCCTTACCGCTGTTGATGCCTTACGACGCTCAATTGATCACAATGGCCAAAAACCTTTTTTCTATCCGGTAGACATTGCCCAGCGCCCATGCTGCCTGGTCGTCTCCTCTGATTATCGCCAGGGAATCCCTTCCCTCAGTCAATCTCGGGGGAGGGGCCGCCCCCGAGCTGGGTCCCCGTCGGCTCTGCTCGCCCTCCCGGCGTCTCAGCCTGGTCTCAGGGGAGCACAGCGCCTGGGGACATGGCCTGCCACTCTCACAATCGGCTCTGCATCTGTTGTCTGCAGAATGCGACGATGGGAACGGGGAGGGGCGGCTAGGCCGACAGGCAGCGTCAGCAGTTGTGTGAAAAATCGAACGGAGTTGTCTTCAGAATGCAGAGAAAGAGAGAGAGAGAGAGAGGGAGAGGGAGAGAGAGAGAGACAGAGAGAGGGAGAGGGAGGGAGGGCGGGAGGGATAGAAGGTGAAAAGAGGGGGCGAGAGAAGAGGAGATGCAGAAAGAAGGTAACGATGTGTTGGACAAAAAGAGAAGAGCAAAAGAAAGGGTTGAGAGAAGGATGAATAGGAGAAATTGTGAGTTGACCTGTGTTGAAAATGAAAAATGGTAGCCATTTGTGCATTCTTCGCTAACAACGAAAGACTCAATCCATAACTAAACTTCAAGCATTGCGCATTTTTTAATTTCACATTTAACTACTTTTAGGCCTAAAATGCAATGAGCCCATGTGTCAATGCATTCCTTTTTCAAATAATTTCCAATGTTCTGTCAAGAACGCAGCAGCTATGATAACAATAGCACCCGCTTTCAGCGCCTGGCTCAATTTCTTTTAAAGCCCTGGGATCCCGTTCGCTATCGCTAGTAACTGCGTCGATTTGGCCGACCCCGGTGCCGCTGGAGCCTGGAGAACCGTCCCTGCCACACCGCCCTTACTAGGTTCGGCACGATCTGAGCCCGCTGATCCCGCCCCTCTAGCTCTGGTTCGTTCCGCTGGCTCCCTCGCCCTCCATCCGACCCTGTGCGGTCAGCCCCGGAACCCCAGGTGACCCTGGTGGTCCGTGCAGCCAGCAATCGATGGGCCTCATCAGGTCAGCCGGCCGTTCCATTTGAGACCTGTCCACTGCAGCCGAAACAGGCCCAGTCAAACGGTGAAATATTTATCGTAACTGCCCACCGTGTTATGAGCTCATGCCACACAAGGTACTCGGCAAAGGAATGAAATTATTGAACGGCATTCTCCTTGTAGGTAACTTTGCAGGAAGTACCTCTACAAGAATGTCCGAATTACCCACTCGGTAATAACCGTTTAAGAACTATGACAGTGGTATGCGTCCTATCCACGTGCTCAGTTTAGATGGAAACGTGACATCGCTCTTCAAGCGAAACACGGTCAATCATGTGCAGTGAAGTATCCCGTGATGGTATCCTGTACCTGACCTTCCTTAACCCTTTCCGTCTCCACGACAGGCAAGGGTCGGGTGACCCATGGCGGGCTGCGACTGACCCACCCTGACCTTTCCCTCTCCCTGCGACAGGCAAGGGTGACCTGGTGGGCTGCGACATCCAGCGTCACCTGCAGGACGGCAGCGATGTGGTCGTCAAGTCGAGCAGCGACGTCCGCGCGCTCACCTACTGTGACCTCAAGTGTCTGCACATCGGGGGACTGGTGGAGGTGCTCAAACTGTACCAGGACTTCCAGCAGGACTTCAGCAACGACATCCGGCACGACCTCACCTACAACCTGCGCGAGGGATACGAGGCGGACGTCTCATCGGTGAGCGCGAGCGTCTCCTCGGTGAGATACTGAATGGTTCGTTGGTGAGGTGAGATCCTGAGCAGCGCGAGCGGAGAGCCCCGACCATCCCCTCCATGAGAACCTCACACAGCGTTTGGCGCTGACATTTCGCCAAGGTTTCTTTTTAGGGATAGTATGAGAAACCGACTTGTCATCCTGAAAAAAGCTAGGAATGCATACTACAGCTGAATACAGAATGCGGTCTGTACTTAGAAATCGATGTATCGTAATGTGATTTGACATTAGTATGTGACTGCCGACCCAGCCATCTGAATTAAACAGCGCGCGCTATTCTCGGGAGCGCGCTCGTTTGAAAGATTTGGTCGTTAGTCATGCTATAAATCCCGTGAAGTGGCTCTTTGTCACCGTTACGTAAGTCGTTGATTGCTGATTATCTGTCATGAAGTGCTTTGCGCTTACTAATATTTTTAAATAAATTTTAACGCTTGTTTAGTCCGAAGCTCCAGTGAAATCTTCGTAGCAAATGCACTTTGCATGGTCCTTTCAAATGGAATACCCAAGTTGGTCTATACTAGTTACATTACGATGTTGGCGAATGCAGTAAAATACCGACGAAAAAAAAACTATATTTTCCGTCGGTATTTTTCCAGAAATTATACCCTCCCTCTTTCTTTCTACTTCTCTTTCCCATCCCTCCCTCCCTCATCCTCCGACCATCTCTCCCTAGACTGTCTGTCTGCCTGTCTGTCTGTCTGTCTATCTGTCTCTCCCTCTCTCCCTCTCTCCCTCTCTCTCTCTCTCTCTCTCTCTCTCTCTCTCTCTCTCTCTCTCTCTCTCTCTCTCTCTCTCTCTCTCTCTCTCTCTCTCTTCCATCTCTTCCTGAATCAATTTGCACATGTCAGCGTCGAAGGCTTTTCTCGAGTCGTAAACTGTCCCACTGCGGTGCTGTGGGGTTCAGTGGCCGTTTGGCCGAGAGTGGTGACCATTGACCACCATTGGCTGACTGCTGTTCCTCTCGGGGTCAAGAAAGCTATACCATACCGTGTACTCTGATCACAGGGTCAAATAGCAATGACACAATACTGCTAGAAGGTCATGGGGTGAAACTGCATCTATATGTAGACACGGCTTCCCAATAGTGATTTGCAATTAGGTGGAGTGGGTCGCAGACTAAATTGTGCTATTGGCTTTACTTTTAGCATAGATAACATAATTCTATGCTTTTACAGTGTCAACTTTCGGGCTGGGGAATGCAGATATAATACTGTGTCAAGGTGTTGTTAATGCCAAACTTTTAAAAGCTTGTTAAAACTGAGCCGTAGTTACTTCGTACAAAAGCGGCACAAACTGACCGATACCAGGCAGGTAGAGTAACTTTACTTGTCAGAGATATTTGACAGACAGACTTTGTCCATCAGATAGCTGTGCTAGTTAGCGAAAACACTTCCTGTAAATCGAGGCAGCTTTCAACTATTTCAGAAACATTTTGTGATAAAGCAGAAAAACAGATGTTGGATGATAGAGCTGTAAACCGAAACAATGCTTTTGCGTTGAGACAATGTCTTCCCTTTGTTAGTCCGGATTATCAAAATCTCATACTACTCGCGTTCGCTCTTCTGAGCCGGCGCCCACTGGGAACACGGTCTCTGTGTGGTTCGCTTCCTTGCCTTTTCTCACCCTGGCGCCTTCCTTTGAAGTTTGCCTTTGCGCTGTGTTGGCCGGACGATCGCACCGGTCCGTGAAATCGGCCCATAAAACACCCATTCAGCGTGGTCCACCGAACCGCCCAGCGCTGAATAGACGAGCGCGGCTGCAGCACACAGGAGCTGGCACGCAAAAACGACTTCAGACACTTCCGCCGAGTTCTGAAACTCGAGAACATTTGATCCTAGGCAACATTGCTTCTATACAACAACGTTGCACAAAGACAAATGATAACTCAGTTGCCTTTCATAAAAATGTTCATCGATAAAGCTAGCTCAGATCTCTTTTTCAAAATATACTTCATACTCAGCTCAGATTTGATTATGGACTTCATTTCCACAGGTCAAATATTACATTCCGTAGAAATGTCCACCCTTACCCTTCCGTATAAATTTGCCATACCTGCCTGTAACCAGCCCCTGCTCCGCGCGTTCCCAGGACACGGAGAACAGCGTCGGCCCCGGTCACACACTGCCCTCCATCAGCGAGGACAACGAGGCAGAGGAGGAGGCAGAGGAGGTGGAGGACCCGCCACTCTCGCCGCAATCGCCCAACATGCGCCGCAATGGCAACAGCAGACTCTTCTGGTAAGTGTGGTGTCGAAACGCCTGCAGTGAGAATGTAGAGGTGTACCTAGTGTTGTGAAATGTAACGTGGTTCTATTTGGGCGTGCCTTAGCAGCACGGATTTGTGCTGCTGTTGTGTTTAATTTGTTTATTTTGTTACATCTGCACTTTGTGACCTTTCCTGTTCACCGCTTACTGCATCTCTTGGTAAAAGCATAATCTGTGGATATCATGAGCCAAATATCAGGCTCAAAACAAGAAGTAAGGTCCACTCAACACATTCCCACCAAACAACCAGCTGTGGTAGTTCCCACCAACCACACACCTCCCTTGCCCTGCGGCTTCGACCGAACTATCGAGCGACGAACCAGCGCTAACAAGGCTTTTGCCGCCGAAGGTCTAGTACCCTTGACCAGCTGAGTCGAGGGTCAAACAATAACGTAGAGTTGGTGAGCTTGTGAGCCATTCAGGGAAACAGAACAGGTTAAACTGTGAAGCCATAATAAGAAAGGCATCATATCAGAGTATTCTTGGACTGATTTCGTTCAGCTGAAGCGCCGACGCTCGCAGCGTCAAATTGAAACAGTGCGAAGTGACGCTCTAAATATTTGCTGAAGGCGTGTGAAAAGATTGCAGAGCTTAGGCCGGCGGCGAGGCTTGTTAGTTTTTCATGAGAGCGACGTGCGCTGTCGCCCTCGCCTTCAAGCTCAATTACGGTGATAGTCACTAAAGCCGACAGCTACGAATGAGAAAGTCAGCTTAAAGGGCTTGAAGCGTTCAGGATTCAAGTGTTTGGAGTGCATAGAGTTGGGGTGTTCAAAGTGTAGAGTGCAAAGTGTGGAGTGTCCCGAGTTTCCATGTTGGAGTGTAGGTATAGAGTGTCCGGGGCTGAAGTGTTTGGAGCGCTCAGGGGTGTTCGCGCTCCAGCTGAGCTGTTCGGCCTCTCGGCCCGGTCACCTGGGACAGAGGCGGGCGGAAGCGGACACAGCACGGCCGCCCGGTCTCAGAAAAGGCACTTCAGCTGGCAAATGACGTGCCCCGCTGGGAATGCAAACACGACCGCGCTGAGCAAATGTTGAGATTTGCTTCCCTCATATCTTGGCTTAGGTGGACAGAATTCATTATTAGCGCTTCACTGGAAAAGTACACAGACGTAAATTGTCATATGCTTTCGAAACGCTGGTGGCGCGAAATCACAGTTAGTTACTTGTGATTTGTGAGATACATTTCTGGACATTGCACTTGTATTTCCATTGTCACTGCCCGTGAAGGTCAAGTTCAGAGAGATCATGATTGATCAAAATGACACGATGCGATGCGTTCAACTTTATTTGCTTACTTTATTTTTTTTTCTTTAGTCACTTTAGAACACCGTCTCTTCCGAAGGTACGTACTATCTCGGCGATAGAACGTCACAGCTTGATGAAGCCGTCCCAGTCCGCCAGGCAGGACACCAGTCCGCTCAGTGCGTCCCTCGGACGTTCACTGTCTAAGAGTCACATTTTTCCGATACCGTTCCGTCCCGTTGAGTCGGATTTATCGGCCTTATTATAGCCGGCAGTCCATGTGTCAGGAAGGTTCGACGCAGAGCCGACGCCACCGTGTCGTAGTCGCGTCTTATTGCTCGACTCGGTGACGGTAGAACATGCGGGCACTGACCGGTGCATTGCTGAGGGACTAATTTCCCTCGGGACGGCCCGTTACGGTGAGAAGACGCCTGGTTGAATGTGCGGGACGGCAGTAGTTATACCAGTCGCTAGCCACTAACCACTTCATGTCGACTGCGGTCTGGGAAGGTGTGAGCTGTTGAAACTAGGGGCCGGAGACGATGGAATTAGGTCCAAAGGCATGAGAGATCATTGCATCTATGCATAAACACCCCTTGATTTCTACAAATGAAAATACTTAAAAACGTCACGAACTTTAAAAGGTGCGACACTACAAAAAAATGAGAATTGCTTCTGAAAGTTTCGAACAAACCAACGAGTTCCGCCTTTTGCAGAGCTGGTTAGCCGCCACTTTGTCTCTGTTGCACCGCGCCAAATGAGATGTCCAACTAAATCTCGACACTAATTAGACTGGCCGTGTCAGTGAAGAAATGGCGCCATCAGGAATGAATAGTGCAATTTATGCTAATAAATGAAGGTATCATAGAGACATTCCGGCTTAACAAGCTCCGCGAAGTTTGCTGAACTGTGTGTCGCATTCCCTGAGCTGAATCTATTAGCAGCGTGACTATAGGAAAATAACTCGTCGCTGGTATGCGCCAACAACCAGCGCAGGTAAAATGTATCCACAACACATTTTGGAAGAACGTCATTGCCAATGAGTAAACAGGAAACTGGAGCAATACTTCTGACAAGTTGAGATTTAAGAGATTTTTTTCTCCTCCTTTTGAACTGGCTTCATAACTCATAAGTCCTGTCTTGCCACCGTTTGTGTGTTTTACGGGCATATGGGCATGATAATTTAATCGGAACGTCTATCCTGACCCTCGACTAAATAAACATCTGTTCACCCCTGTACTGCTCGATATTTACCAGAGCACCAGCATTTCTCAGCACCAATATTCCGGCGCTCATCTGGGACTCCTACCGCGCCATCCCGACCGTACCATCGGTGGGCCCGCGCTCCCGTCCCGCACAGCACTCGGCAATCGGTCCGGCGTTCGATGCCTTGTCACGCACAGGCCGGCCCCGTGAAAGCCGGCTGTCACAGCGCTGCTTTCCAGGCCGGGACGGGGGTGATGTGCCCGTCCGTCTCACTCGCTCAGTATTAAACCGGGCGGCGCAGCGGTGCGCGGCCGCTGATGGAAATAGTTTCTCCATTGTGAGAAAGGAGAGCCGGCAACATACGACGCCGACGCGGTCCCGAAGTGTGTTAGATGATTGCTTTTACCTGGGGATCGATGCCGGTCGGCCGACCCGCGCCAGACAAAAGGATGTTTGTCCGGTCCGCCGGACCAGCGTCAAATTGTACCACCGGGGGTACAGGGCAGATCAATGTGCTGGAGATGTAAACATCAGAGATGGATCAGTCTCCGCCTTAACCTCAGCTGAAACTTTACCGCATCAAAATACTCGTTTACACCATATCATAATTTGTGGATAAAGCTATTTTCATCGATCGAACACCTTGCTCGGACAGGATAAGTGTGTAAAACGTCATTTGCAAATATATAGTAGCTATCATCTATGCAGACTTTCGGTGATATTACAATGATATTACAATGATATTACAATGATATCCTTCAGCACATACGATCCCCGCCGAGTTGTTGAGACACGCCGCTCGATACAAGGCGACCCCGGCCGGCGCGCAGGAGCCCTCATGTAGTGCGGCACAGCATGCTCCAGGCGGTGGACACTGAGAGCCATCTGTTGGTGGAATAAGTAACTACTGTGCACTGCGGCACAGCCTACTTCAGGCGGCAGACATTCATGGCCATCTGTCGGCGGGATAAGAAACGACTGTGTACTGCGGCACAGCATGCTTCAGGCGGCAGACATTCATGGCCATCTGTCGGCGGGATAAGTAACTGCTGTGTATTGCGGCACAGCATGATCCAGGGGACAGACGCTCAGAGCCATCTGTCGTCGAGAATATCAGCTTCAGTGTCGGGCGGTACAGCATCATTCAGGCGGCATTATCAAACTGGCTTGAGGACGGACGAAATATGCATAGCGAACTTATCGACGCTGGGCTCTCTACCCGAAATCATTTCCACTTTCCTTCAATCACTACAAAGTACACACGAAATTATTTTTGTTCCATCCAGTCACTTTGTTTCCTTCCAGTCGCTTTGTTTCCTTCATTCAGGCTTCAATGTTGTGAAGTGGTTTCGTCAACTGACACAAGTTTTAGTTTATGTCTATTTTGTGACCTCCTCTCCCCCCCCCCCTACAGTGAGGACTCGGAGCCGCTGCTGCGGCCGCGGCGGGGCGCCGAGCGCAGTCCGCTGGGCGGTCAGCACTCCACCTCCCTGTCGCCGATGGTGCTCCGTCTGCGGCGGCTCGGCTCCCTGGACAACATGGCAACCGACCGGCCCCGGGAGCGAGACCGGCCACCCGACGACAGCCGAGCCAAGGTCGACCAAATTCACGACCAGGTAAGGGAGGGGCTGGACAGGGGCGGGGAGGAGAAACTGACCCTCAGGCGGTCGGCGACGGAATTGGTTACTAAGAGCTGGAACGAGCAGAATTGTAAAGCTCCATAGCTAGAGTGATAGTTCAAAGCCCTGCACGAATTAACAACTCGGAGAGACGAACTGTTTCCTCACCTTCCTAACCATCTCTCGGTCTAAAGTTATGAGTTCTGGCTCACTTCACTGGACTCCCTGGATGAGGACCACTCTCCCCTGTCCGACCTATTCGGCCCGTCTCCTGTCGCCCGTACCGGCCAGTATGCAGATGCAGATGAGCTCCGCGGCTGTCGTTGCAGCGCAATAACGGCGCCGTCAGCCGCCGCTCTGGGGAGCCGTTCGGTTGAGTGATGGTCCCCGTTCATGGCCCGCGTCCGCCCAGCGCCGCGCCGATCAGCTGGCCAGTCGATGGAGGGTGCAGGGGTTCGTCGGAAAGTCGAGTCGCGCCCTCCCACGAGCCGGGCCCCGGGGACCGCCGGTCGTCTGCCGCAGCCGCCAGCCGAGTTAATTGACGACCGACTCAGACTATTTTATTGGAGCGAAATGGCTCGAGCGGTGTTACTATACTGAAGAGGCTGAAGCATTGGAGTGGGACTGCTAGCATTGCCAATTGGGATATTAGTGTGAGGAAGTTAGTTGGCTCTTTACCGGTTAAACGGTTATATAGTGCCAACTGCCAACGGCTTAGTCGCGCGGCTTATGATCCAGCGAGGCAACTTTTCAAATGCACAGTTGTACAGCGTGGCTATTAGGCTGATGAAACTCGACGATATAATGATAGGGCAGCGTAAACAGCACAAATCTCGAGGCTAGAACAAATGAGGCTGCTGTCTATGATTCGTTTTCTGAATAGCTTATTCAACTAACAAATTACTCAATTCACTCACGCTTTTTAAGTCCCGCCCCGTCGCATGACTCATGCATGTAGGATCAATGCAGGTGCACGCCCTCGAAGTATTTCGCACGCTCAATCCTAAAATGTAGTGCGAAGACGGGCTATTAATGCTAGCGGTAACTGCTGCAGCACGAATGTCCAGTATTACAGTTTTACTGTCATCTTACGTATGGATCGGAGACATAACTGCGCCCGCAGGCAGCGTCTTGGAGAGCCGGAAGCTTCCACAAAAGCTTCCATTCGTCTGTCTTATCCGTCTTCATATCAAGAAAAAAATACACACATATTTCAAAAGCAGTCGCCAAACAACAGGGACCAGGACTGGACGCATTGTGACGATGTCAGGTCCGACTCACCGGTCCGAGGGCCGCGCGACCTACAGAGTTATACCTACCAAAACCTTGAGCTATCTTAGACCGGCGCAGGTCCCTTCGAACTAGGATAGGGCTCTCAGAAACCGCTGTGGACCCTCTGAGACTGGCGAATGTCCTCCGCACTCGGCAAGATCGGTTTGCTTCAAAGTCTTTGAATTCAAAGGACAATGGGACGACTGAACAGCGCGGCTCTCGGCTACTACAAACTAGGCCTTTAGGCTTTGGAAGCTAGCTCCAACCCTGTGTACACCAACTCGACCGAATACTGATCCAGGCGGACCGATAGTGACCACGCTCTCCATGTTTCAGGTCCAGACGGCCGTACAGCTCTTACAGACGCTCACGGCCCGCACGGCCCAGCAGCCCGCCGCGCGCGCCACCTGTGACCAGGAAACGCAAACTGAGTTTCCCACACGGATGCTAGAGGAGTTCGTGTCGCGAAACAAGGACCGAGTGCTGGCCCTGCTCGGTGTCGGAGCGGACGGCAACCGCGTCATGAACGCCGCCCATCCACGCTCGCCCCAGCGGGGCGTCACCTTCGCGCTCGAGATGCCCGTCGGGAAGAGCGAGAACGCCGTTCGGTGTCGCGCTCCCTCGCAGGTGACAGACTTTTAGCGCGCGGGTTCTGGCCGCGCGAGTGGGGCGTTGATGATTGTTACGTGCGACGCACAGGCACCCGGGTTTTATCTTTGGACGAGTGTTTGTTTATACCGTGAGTGCCTGTGCCGAGTGGAGGAGTGTGTGAGGTTTGGGAGAGAGTGGGTTCCGTTTGAGAGGCAGAGTATTTTGCGGACTGACCTTATAGGGCGGTTGGATGTTTTGAGACATGTGACGGACGGACGTCGGGCGGCGGCCAAGACCGGCCACTCATATTCCAGTCGAATCAGACGATCTTATGTATATACTTCTTGCGCACTTGTTTCTGTGATCTGCCCATGCCCAAATAAAGACAATATATCAGCTCATCAAGCGGTAGTGTAAAGCGCGTTACGCAGTTCAATGAAAGCTCTATGAAGTCCGTTACCGGCAAGTACCGGTTGACTGTAAGAACATCTGCGTAGGTTATAGCTCAGGGTCCATGGACAACAGCAACCACGCAAACGCTCTTAGCCATCACGCTGAAACAGCACTCCACAAAGCATCGCACGATGCAGCCAAATGATGCATAATAGGGTGTGATGCTTACCAGAGGCCGTCCGAAGATACCACAAAGGCTTGCGTTTGTTTACGCCGGTAGCAGCCCGCGCCGGCAGGCACACGCCACCGCTGCGCGCTGTCCAACGGGGACTGAGGAGGCACCTGGGTGGGTCAAGGTCACAGCTCGGTACTATTCCACGTCACCCTCAGCGAAGGGCATCAGTCCCCAGCCACCACCGGCAGAACGAGTCAGAAATAGAACTTTCTAAGCATAATGACATGATTATCCCAGCATTATGGTGTGGCGTATGTTAGGCCTTCAGGTACACACCAGCCGACCGTCTCAAGTCAGCCCCAGGACCTCGGATAAACAAAACAAAGGCAAGTTTTCATGAGCCTCTGGTCCTCCTGGTCCCTGTCAGCCCCAATGACCGCAGATCCGAGCTAACTAGATCCATCACAGATGTAATCACCCCAGTTCGGTTCCAGACTTGATCCCGTCAACCGTCATGAAAACCCAATACGCCACAGTCAATGAGAAGTTTATTGAAATGCACATGTTTTGAAACTCACAATCTTTTTGGCGTCAAAACTCGTAACAAAGTACAAAAGTCAACACCGAGACAGAGCCCGGGGGCCGATTCTCACCAAAAACAAAAACGGAGAGACAGCAGTAACAGATTTCTGCACTGGCCAAAACTTGAAATTACTCAGTTTTGTACTCGCATTGTATTATGACCAGTACATGTGGTGTGGTGTTGGGGGCCGACCGCGCGGCGGGGGTGCTGGTCGGTCCCCGCGCGGCGGCCGGCCCCGCGCCGGGGCGGCCGGTGGACAGCGCCCCGGCGGCCGGCGGCGCGCGGCCGCCGACCTGCGGACTCTCAGGCCGGTGACTCGTGATGTCCCGCAACATGTGCACGTACGGACTCGGACTGACTCATTAGCGGCAAACGGCATGCAAGGTGGGAGCGGCCAGCACAGCGGCCCGGCGGCCGCCGTGAAAAAGTCGTCACGCGCCAAATCAGAATGGCCTGGGGCGGCGCCGGCCCGCCTCGTTTGGTGACGGATGGTCGGCAGCGGCGGCCGGCGGCGCCCCGCGCGTGCGTGTGCGATGATGCTGTCGAAAACACGCTATTCACAAAACTCGTCTCAGCGACGGCGCACTCTCTCCTTTTAGTGGGAGCCATTCTGATTTGTGTAATCAAGCAGTTTTATCTCAGTACTCGCGCTCTCGCTCAATAAAAGGAAAGGTGTTGTCGCTGGCACGGAGCGGCAGCTCACAAGGGCGCCGTGGCTCCAGCTGGTATCTACACGGCGGCCGGCGGCCGATGGAGCGGCCACCGCTGGCCGCGCGGCCGGCGCCGACCGCCGCCGCGCCGCCCGGCGGAACAGGGCTAATCTGACGGTGTCTGGGAGGGCGGGCGGCAGCGGCGGCGGCGGCGGAGCCCGGCCGCCCGCCTAGGCTTGACTCTCGGAGGTTGTGTTCTCCACGGGCTGGGCGTCAGACTGCCGACAGACGAGTAAGGTGTCACACACAGAGGGCGCCCGCCGACACACCGACTCACAGGGGGCGATAGGGGCACATTGGAGGACACATCACAGCACACCACTGGGGGTTAGTTCAGTCGGAGAACAGACGTTTAAACCACACAACAACAAAGTGCACCAGTTCAAACGTTCGATGGTAAGACCGTAGAATTGGTTTAAATAACAATCATCATCACATGGTTAGACTTCATATCAAAAGAGCAGGCTTTCTTACGTGTTGTGTGAACCCACAAGATACAAAACGTCACGCCAGGCTTTCAGCGAAGCAGCAAAGGCATCTCATAAGATAGGGTATCAAGCGCAAAGGCAATTACCGCCACGGACCACGGGACGAGCACAGATATCACGTTCAACGAGTCAGATACACAGCAAAACCCAGCAACCAAACCAGACCGATACATTTGAAACTCCACAGAACCCCACTCGCAAACAGCACACCGGAGTGAAACTACCAGACACACCACCCCACACCATCACCCCACTCTGCACACTACCCCATGTGCTGTGCATGTGTGCCAGCGTGCCCCGTACTGACCTTGGCCGGTGCGGGCGCCTCCTTTTTGGCCGGAGCAGTCTCCGCGGCGGCGGGGGCCGGTGCCGACTGCCGAACACCAAACACACAGGACAGGCTCAGCATGCAGGCTGGGACAGACCCGGGCCGCAGAGCTGGGTCCAGAGACCACACAACACATACAGTGCGCCCCCACCCACCCGACAACCACCCGACCGGGGCAGGTCACAGGCAGACGCGCGGAGAAACTACCGAGCGTGAACCAAGACAGAGACATGCGCCAGGTGGTTGGGTTTCTGGACGGAGGAGCGAAGTGTGCCGGGAGGATGGGGTTGTGCCGAGTTTCATCAGCCGGTGCGAACTCTCACCTTTTCTTCCGCGGCTCCTCCGTTCTCCTGGGCGTCTCCCTCTCCCTGTGAAGGGTAACGGCCACTAAATACACACAGACGAGACGGCGGGCGGGCGGGCGAGCGGGCACAGGCAGGGGCGCGGCACCGGCAGCGGGCCCGGCGGTCCACACCGGCCGGTGCCGCCACGGTACATGCACGTGCCAATATACACGGGAACCGGCGCCTGGCTACCCTCCTTTCGGCTCACCTCCGAGTCTCGCACTCTCCCTCCCTCTCCCTGCCGTCCTCCCTTCCTCTCTCCCTCCGTACTCACCTTGCCGGTATCCTCGCGGGAGCCGGAGCGGGGCGCACCGCGACCCCGGCCGGCGCCACGGCCGCGACCCCGGCCGCCGCGGCCACGACCTCTCGACCGGCCGCGGTAGCCGCCACGGCCGCGCGGCCGGTCCAGGTCCTCGTCGTACTCGGCGTCGTAGTCGCCGTTCTCGGCAGCCTCGTCGGCGCGGCGCCGGTATCCTCCGCGGCCGCCGCCGCGCTCGCCGCCGCGGTATCCGTAGCCGCGCGGCCGGCCCCTGCCGCGGCCGCGGGGTCGCGGTGCCGGCTCCTCCTCACCCTCTAGGTGTTCCTCCTCGTCACCCTCGTCATCGCGCCGCCGCCGGAAATAGCGCGGGTAGCGCCGGTAGCCACGGCCGCGGCCACGACCCCGACCGCGGCCCCGGGCGCCGTCACCGCCGCCCTCGCGGTCGCCGTCGTCCTCGAGTTCTTCTTCGTCATCTGAAACACCGACACCGATACAAACGGTCAACGGAGCCGAAACGACACCGGGTTTCGGACAGGCACAACACGGTAAGACAAACACAAGGAAAGACACACGTAAGCACAGGGTCAGAAAGCAGCAAGGATATGCTCATCCACTGTTGCACACCGATACAAAAACTGATACAGAAGCGGTCAGAAGCACCGCACGGTCGGAAAACAGTTCTGAACAAGCGCAGACTCAGAAAGGCACGGACATTGTGTCAGACATCCGAAGACTAGCAAGAACAGACACAGCTAAGAACAGACATGGACAAACACAGCCACTGATATGATACGGTCAAATGCCATCCAGCGAAGGACGGCCGTGCAAAGCACCAGCATGCCGGAAAATATAAACGGATCCAGCATCTTACCTGCCATTGCAATCTGCATTCACTTATCGTATCACATGCCAATTTTTGTGTAACCGAAATCGAGGTTCAAATTAATCTTAACCATGTTTTAAATACGCACACAAAATCACAATCTCATGCTCCGCAATTTGAAAGTTACATACTGACGGTACAAATCAAGCCACAACATTTCCGCTATAATTAGGACGCCAATCCGTTCCTTCCCTGTGCGAAGGGAAGCTCTACAATCTCTGGCGCAGGGAAGACCTACAGAGTCAGCGCACGATGGGATTACGGCCAAAGCTGCACTACGGTTACCCGTGGTCTGCCGTACGTCCAGCTGTCCTCCCAGGCCTCAGCGTGCGGCAAACGACCATGCAGAAAACAAATAAAATAAGGCAAACCACCTGGCAAGCTACCACAACCTGTGTTTAGAGGTGACAACAGTAGTACAGCCACGCCACTCGAGCATATCGTGGGCACCCCTGATCCAAACACGTCATTTAGGGTGCATAGCCGCCCCCCCCCCCCGCTCACCACCACCTACCCAAGCAGTGCACACAACATTCAACACCCCTATCGCCAAGTGAACCCCCGCCGCTTGAATCACCTCACACCCACTCCCCCCCCCCCCCCGCCCCCGTGCTACAATCACGGCCCGCCCCGCCCGTGTCCCATACTAACCGTGGTACTCGTGACCCTCCTCGCCGTCCTCTAGAACAGTGACAACAGGCACGGATCAGCGTCAGAGAAGCGGCGGCGCCAGGCGGCAGCGGCGGCCCGCACGGCACAGAGCCCACACTGACAGCCGGCGCCGGATGCGACTCAGCAGCAGACGGCCAGCTAAGACACCGGCCAGTGGAAGCGAAGCTCGGCTAGAATGTGATCGCGCCAGATCGGCCGTCCAAGGGGCGAATGTGCCCGCCGGCAAGCAATATAATGGCTGGTAAGCTGATAGGAGAAGCCCGAGCAAACAGATACTGAGCAGTGCTTTGAAAGATACGGAGAAAGGAAATGCCAGTCGCTAAGGCACCTACGATTACGTTAGCACTCAGTACCGTTTTATTCGTTAAAATACTAAAAGGGAATGAAAGAAAGTGACAAAACATATTTAATCTGGAATTATTCATGACAACTAACTCATGCAAGATCGAGAGCATTTACTTTTTTTTTTTTATTCAGGCCTCCCTCCAACGGGCACTTATGGCCCATTTACAGGAGGGCTCCTCCTCCTCCTGGCCCTTGTTCCCCCACCCCCCAGGCTACGGCTGAAGT